CCCTGTCATGACCTGTAGGCTCTTCAGCTCCCTCAGTGGTTCGACCTATAGGGGCTTCAGCCTGGGCCCAGTTCTCTGTCCATCTGGTCGGGAGGGCTCTGTGACACATGGGCACGGCGGGGTTGCCAGAGTTCGGGCGGGTGGGAGAGCCCTGTGCCGCTGTCTGCAAATAAAAGGGGGAGAGCGGGGGCTGTCGGGGGTCCTCTAGGCCCTAAGAAAGCAGCAAGGCGGACTGCTTAACCCGGTTAAAGGGTAGGTGTCTCCATATATCCCAGGCGTGGGGAGGAATGAGCAGGCGTGGTTCCCACCATCTGCACACGCGGAGCTCCCTGGGTGGTCCAGAAGGGCTTTGGTGGCATTTGCCCAGGAGAGTGTGGATGCTGCTTGACAGCTGCAGGGCCTTTGGCCAGGCGGGAAGTGACGTGTGGGCAAAAGCGTCAGGCACCTCCTTCGAGCCGGAATCGAACCAGCGACCTAAGGATGTCCACAGATGTCTGTGTAGTCTACAGTCCTCCGCTCTACCAGCTGAGCTATCGAAGGGTGCACGCCGCCCACGCCGGGTGCTTTGCTTTTCTGGATAGGAGTGAGGCCAAGACACGCAGCCGCCAGAGGCTGAATATGCCCGGGCTGCTTGGAGGCCGCCTTCCAAGAGAGCCCCTCAGGGATGCACGCGTCGCCACAGCGCCCCTTCGGGAGCAGCAGATCCTCAGGCGGTCGTTGCCCCGGGGGTGCTTTCTAGTGCCCTGACATCCTTGGGACGGTGACTGCCAGGGTCCCCGGGCCGGGACTCTCTCTTTTTGCCCTGTTCCCCTCCGCCATCCTTTCTGCAGATGAGATTGACTCACAGCGCTAGAAGGCCAGCGGGCACGCCGGCTTGGGGGGACCCCACCAAGGGTGGGCTACGCCTCGAAACGCAGCTGCAGCAGGCCGAGAGCGCCGCGCTGCCGCGGGTCCTTCAGGCTACTCCTGCCGGGGCCAAAGCCGGCCGGCTCCGTGGAGGCTGATCTTGCCCTGGGCTGCAGGCTGCCGGCCCCGCCCGCTCACCCGCGGTCCTCCGCGATCCCAGCCTCCCCTGCGCCAAGGACACGTCTGGCGGCTGCGCAGGGCCCTTCAACCCCACCGCGGAGCCTCTCTCTGCTCCGCAGCCACTTTCAGAGCGGGTGTCGTGGCGGCTGGCGTGGAGTTGGCAGGAATTGCCCACGGAACTGGGGAAAGTCACTAAAGCAGAGAAAGCAGTGACCCAGTCCTGAGGATGGGAAGTCGTGGGAATGAGTGGAGGCCCCGCGTGGGTGACGGTGTCACTAGAGGCGGGCCCCTGCTAAAGTTCCAGGCCAGGCCTCTGCGTTTCCAGGTAGAACCCGGCCCTTGGTGGGAGCCCACCCCCCTCCCCGCGCGAAGCCGGCGTTGCCAGGGAACCCCGCGTCCTGCCATGGAATTCTCAGTGCTTCGATGTGGACTAGTCCCGTGAAGGCCGACGTTCGAGGACATTTGGCAGGGTTGTCCGACGGCGCTGGACGCTTTCTTTGGAGCTGACCAGGTCGTTCTCTAAACCCGCAGCGATGTCGTCCCGGGATCAAGAACACCGGTGTCTGGCTTGGGCTCCTTGTCACGGCCCCAAGTCTCTTAGGAAGGTTTCAGGTTCCATTCCGTATGTGCCCACCAGCCCAAGACCACTTACTCTTCAGCCACACATCCAGCCCAACAGCCATGGGAGGAACCACAAACCACAACCAAGTGACCTTCCCTCCACTGAGTCTGTGGCCACCCCTTGCCCTGCAAGTGCATCTGAACCTCCCTGGAAGAGGGGCAGTTTTCGCAGGCTCCCTTCCCACTGTCTCCTCTGAGTGAGACCACTGGGACCAGGGGCTCCCAATCTCTTGTGCTGAGAACCAAAGCCCCCTTTCTTGCCCTTCTTTGCCCTCCCCTCCCCACCCTGTCTGCCACCAGCACCCACTCCCAACCCCCACCCCCGTCCCCCACAGCACCAAAGCAAGGTTCCAAAGGAACTGGCTACTGCGCGCCCTTTCAGGAGCACAGCCAAAAAAGGCCTAATCTGCTAGTTTGGGGTGGCTCAGACGGTGTCATTCAAGGCTGGTGTCTGTGTGGCTGCAAAACTACATAATCCTCTTAAGCCTGTGGAGACTCCACGGCCTTGGCCCGGGCCTCTTACAGTGAGGAATGGGAAGCAGGGAAGGCTGAGACTGTGATGAGTGGAGGGGAGGCACCGGGGGCACATCGGGGTCAGCTTGGAAGCAGCAGGGGAAGACGGGTGGAAGTCTCCAGCTGGAAGTGAAGAATTGAGAAGCTCTCTGGGTGCAGGGAGGAGGGTAAGGGTAGGGGCGCTGAATGGTCCCCTGAGGGCTTCAGAGATCCGCACCCACATCGCAGTTCCTCTTGGAGTAGTCACTGTGATACATTCCACATGTATGGCAGCTTTCTGCAAATTTCTCTCAAGAGCAGAGGGTGAATCAAAGGACACTTTCTGGCCTTCCTCTCTGTGCCCATATACCTAACAAACACCATCCCTCCAGACAGACAGGAAGCCCCTCTTGGTTGGAGAAAGCGCAGCCCATGGCCTGCTGAGCACTCTTGGATTGGGCCTCCACGTCTTCCTCTTGGGCCCCTCTCCAATGGAGCCTTGAAAGCCCAGCTCCAAAGCAGGCAAGCTGCTCAGACCCACCAGGCCACAGGCCTGAGTAAGGGGACTTTGTGTTTGTTTGTGTGTGTGTGTGTGTGTGTGTGTGTGTACCCTTTTACTCCCAGCCTTGGACCCAACCTCCAGGCGCCCTCTCTGCTCCCCACCCTGCAGCCTACTCCAACCACCCCTTTCTTGGTCACATGACTGATGTCTCTCCAAGCCTGCAATTTGCCATCTCTCTCTCCCTCCCTCCATCTCCTGAGTGGCCTGGCAACAGTTGCAGGTGGTTTTGCCAACTTTGAACTCAGTGTTAGGCATCCTTGCCTTTCCAGCCACAGAGAGAGAGAGAGAGAGCGAGAGAGAGAGAGAGAGAGAGAGATATGGGGAGAGACAGAGATGAAACGTTCACATAGCAGAGGGTAGAAGGAGAGGGTGCGTTTTCTCTGAGGATGTCAGGGTTGTCCCTGGCCCCTGTCATGACATGTAGGTGCTTCAGCCCCCTCAGGGGTCGACCTGCAGGGGCTTCAGCCTGGGCCCAGTTCTCTGTCTACCTGGTCGGGAGGGCTCTGTGACACGTGGGCACGGGGGGGTTGCCAGAGTTCGGGCGGGTGGGAGAGCCCTGTGCCGCTGTCTGCAAATAAAAGGGGGAGAGCGGGGGCTGTCGGGGGTCCTCTGGGCCCTAAGAAAGCAGCAAGGCGGACTGCTTAACCCGGTTAAAGGGTAGGTGTCTCCATATATCCCAGGCGTGGGGAGGAATGAGCAGGCGTGGTTCCCACCATCTGCACACGCGGAGCTCCCTGGGTGGTCCAGAAGGGCTTTGGTGGCATTTGCCCAGGAGAGTGTGGATGCTGCTTGACAGCTGCAGGGCCTTTGGCCAGGCGGGAAGTGACGTGTGGGCAAAAGCGTCAGGCACCTCCTTCGAGCCGGAATCGAACCAGCGACCTAAGGATGTCCACAGATGTCTGTGTAGTCTACAGTCCTCCGCTCTACCAGCTGAGCTATCGAAGGGTGCACGCCGCCCACGCCGGGTGCTTTGCTTTTCTGGATAGGAGTGAGGCCAAGACACGCAGCCGCCAGAGGCTGAATATGCCCGGGCTACTTGGAGGACGCCTTCCAAGAGAGCCCCTCAGAGATGCATGCGTCGCCACAGCGCCCCTTCGGGAGCAGCAGATCCTCAGGCGGTCGTTGCCCCGGGGGT